GCCAATAGTCGAAGGTCTAAACAAGTGGTTCTCAACTAGATGGGAGTTTGAGGGGCCATCTTCCTCCCAGAGGATGTTTGTCACGTCTGGAGATCTTCTTGTTGTCATAAGTAAGGTAGGATACTATCGGCATCTAGTGGGTTAGAGGCAGGGATGCGGCTAAACAAGCACAGAACAGTCCCCCATAATGATTTATTCAGCCCAAAATGTCAGTAGTGATGAGGCTGAGAAACACTGCTATAAACTGATATCACAGAATTTCCTCCAAGAAGCCTTCAGCAGTATCTTCAAGCTCTTGTTTTAGTTAGAGTTGCACATATCTTAATTCATTAATAAAGCAAATAAGGACACCAGCATGTTTACCTGTCAAATTCAGTCAAATAAATATGAAAGTAACTTCTAAAGATAACTTCTTATTTCTACCTACTTCCTCCCCAACAATTCATTTGCACAAATTTCTGTAAAATTTCTGTAGAACTGGAAGTTTGTTCCTATAAGCTCTGAGGCAATTATAATTGCGAATAACCCATCTATGGCACCTAACAGCTGCAAAGTTAAAAAAAAAAACATGCTTTTAAGAATGATAATGCTATTAAAATATCAGTGCAATAAAAAATAATTAACCATGTTAAATTATAGCATGTAAGAATAGACTTTAATTTTCATCTTATTTTCTATATTATTTTTTGTTCTTCTACTTGAAATAAGGTAGCAGATTCTGAATTTTAACCTACCTCTACTCAAATACCTATATGTTAGCAATGCAAAAAAGAATGATTTCTCTGAATTTAATACTCCTTAAGAATTAGTTTGTACAGAAAAAGTATCTCTCGCCAATATGACCAAAATTATTACATTTTTTATTATTTCAATTAGCAATAAGAAATTTTCACCTAACTTCAAAATTTTACCAGTCCTTTTCAGTACTTTTTAAAATTATTTGCTATACAAAATGCATAACTAAAACTACCTTCTATTTTATAATCATTTGCCCGATATTGATAAGTCAGAATTATTTGGTCAAGAGATTTTTCTTATGCTGTGCTTTTCCCACTGTATTTTCACCTAATTCTCCTATGTAGCCTTTCTAGTTCTGTTGTTCTTTATATTTATTAATAACTCTTATTAAAAAATGCTTAAGTAGTTATACACTGCTTCTCAATTATAATATGTTTTTATATTTAATTTTAATCAGGACATTTTGATAGTAACAATAATATTAATCATTTATAACAATATGTTAGATTTTAGAACACATTTAATACAGAAAGTTTCTAGCCCAGTTTAAAGTAACTTATGACATATGTGTGTACACATAGCTATAGCAGTTACCACATGTACACTCTCGTGCACACACACATTCCTTCTATATTTTATATTTAACCTTTTGAAAAATGGTATCATAGGCATTCTATATTTGAAATAGGGTCCAATAATCTCTAGGCTATAAAACTATGAATAATTTAACCAACTAATATTACAGGGAAAAAATTGCAGGGAAATTCTAGTAAGCCAAATTTAATTCAGACGTGGAAATCCAAAGATAAAATCTCTTGCTTCTATGAAAAGTATAAACAGAATCATTTGTGGTGACAGGTACTTTGGCTCTCACTGGAATTTCATCTCAAAGACAGACATCTCTAGAAATCAAGATGTTAACTCTTCACCAAATCACAGTTGTCTTTGTAGCCACTTCATCCCTAGGACATAAGAGATATTAGCTCTCCCCTAGCTGAAGTTCAAGCATTTACTCTATCAGATGAAACTGGGAGTCACTATACTCTTAACAAGAAGAGGAAATTTGATGATTATAGCAAACTTAAAAATTATTTTGAAGTCATCATGATTGTGGGCCCTAATGCTGCCAACTGATTATCGTTCATTCTGCCCTAAACCTCTGTCTATAACTGTTGGCTTTTTTACCTACTGGCCTCGTCGTTGTCGCATGTCATATGTATTTTCCTTATGTTTGTTATTCTCTAAAGAGTCCTGTCTGGGCTAATTTTGGATATCAAGCTGTCATGAAAAAACCCAATGCATGAATTTTCAAATATTTTTAAAAACAAATCTTTGCTTTATGGTCTTCACAAGTGAAGAAAAGGCATTTCATAGTATCATTCACAAATCATAGAACACAAATAATTCTTAATTTCTCTTGAAAGGGATGGCAGGAATCTTTTCTCCTATAGTTTCATCCATGAACTCTTATAAAGATGTTTCGGCTTTGTGTTTTTCTCTTCAAAAAAAGAGAGTGCCATCCAAGCACAAATACATGTTTTCTACACACCAAAGACAGTATATAATAGTCTTTTGAATATATGATAGCAATAAGAATTCTCAAAGTCCCAGTGTTATCAACTCCATCCTGATTTTCAAATGTCAATTTGATATTCAAAATGTAAAGGACTCCACAACATTCAAATGAGAGATCATCTTATTAGATGCCCATTCAATGCCAGGCTTTGCTCCTGATGATACAAAGATTATAAATATATGTTTCCTTCCCTGTTGTAACTTCACTTTCATCCTGTTAATACACTACATACTCGAAATTCATATAGCTTTAAAGATTTTTATAAAATATGGTATGTATATACCACCTTATAGTTCTATAAGGAAGATAAAATAAAAATGATCTGTAAAAAAGAGCAAAGTGTTGAATTTTTGGAAAATAAATTTCATTATTTCTCTGTATACCTGGCAAAGAATTCACCTCATTGGTACCTAAACCCTAAATTATTTTCACTTCTTGAGCATTGTCAGTTGTCAGAAGAAGGTGTGCTGTTATAATGATAAGAAAGAATGAGAGATACATGTGCTGCCATAATTTAAGGTATAGACCAGATTATTACATACTCAAGCACTTTGCAATACTGATGAAAAAACAAAACATAAATCACAAAGTGGTCTCCTTGGCTTAGCATGCCTGCCTAAGTGTAGCACATGAACAGACCTTAAAATACACACTATAAAAGTTACAGATTTAGGAGCCAAATTGTGGGAAATAAGTATTATATTAGGAAATAAAGCAATTTCTTAACTTTAGTTTGCATATCTGAAACCATATATCTAAACCTTTGTAGTTTTTATTTTAATAAGACTAAAGAGATCATTTCTTTTTTTAAAGGCTTATGCTCTTCAATAGTTTGAAGTTAAAAGGAATTAAAGTTACAGTATGGGAAACACTAAACAATTTAAAAATTATTGAAGTAATTTTTCACTATAACACTGAACATTTAATAAACAATTTTAGTAAACCTCTTGTCTCCAACAGCAAGTGATAATCTCATGGCTTATACTTCATAGTCTTTGTTTTAACAATGTTAAAAATATTGGTAACTAATTGTTATATGACATAAATACATAAAATTTGTGTTCTTTGTAGCGTTTTTATTCATTGGGGCAAAATTTCTTTAAAGGAAAGTAGCTTCCTCAACAGAATTCTAAAATAGGAATTTTACTACTTTTTTTTCCTTTACAAAGGTTAATGATTTTTATCCCAATATGAAATTTTGTTTGCATTGTGATTTGTGGGGAACAGTGAAATATGATATTCACACTGCCCTGTTTCTTCAGAAAGTCATAAAATGGTCTTATTTGTGTTGCAAATTGCCTTAGCTTTGCACTTTAGCACCACCTGGTGGACAAAATATAATTTTTTCTCTACAGTTAAAGTTAGCCCCTTCACAATGTATGTCCAATTGTGACATCTTAAGTATAAAAGTATTTAATCTTAAAGAATATTATAACCAAAATGAGGTAAAAAATATCTGAGATGTTTCCTAAATACTATGGCTAAGTTAAATGTCTGATTTTTTTTTTTAATTTTGTGAATATATACAGATTTGAATAGTACGTTATATACAGATGCAAAAATTGTGGGCTTCTTTTTATCAATTAAACTTTTTATAATTTACATGTTTTCTCAATAAATAATTAAGACCAGGAATTTTTCTGTATCTTAGTAGCAAATTATGGTTTAAGTTAGATTGTCTACCAAAAATGTGGGATAATCACTTTGCAAATACTTTATGAAGAATTTTTATACAATAAATTTTTATTGTGATATTTTATTATGTATAATTAAAATTAAAATTAGTATTTTAACCATTACTACTATAAAATAAGCCATTTTCATGTTTATTATCCCACTTATAATTAAAATTTGGTGTGGCCTTATATTTATTAGTTCTTAGTTTTTAATACTTTAAAATTTTTTCCAGAGATAAATTTGACAGTATTATCAAATGAAAAACACAAATATATTTAAAAGTAGTTTTGAGAATTTAATACATGTTAATCTTTGTATTGTCCCACACTTCTGAGAAATATAGTGGTGTTTTTCCTATGAAATATAGAGAAAATACACCTATAGATTTCACTTGTTCCTTTGGAAGATATACTTAACTAATCCTTGCCAAAGTTAGAGGAGGAGAGTTCTGTAAATTTGAATCATGTGACAATCAAAGGCTTAGTAACTAAATAAGAGCTGTCAATAAATAGCAAACATGTTCTAGCTTTATACTTTTAGTGTGTCATTTAAGAAAAAATATAATAAATAACCATTAAGACATGAACCTTGAATTGAAGTTATTTATAGTAATTCCACCTTACCTGAAGTTTTGTTTTCTGAGGTTTCAGTTACCCATGGTCATTTGCTGTCCAAAAATATTAAATGAAAAATTCCAGAAATAAACAATTCTTAAGTTTAAATGAGACCATTTGAGTAGTGTGATAAAATTTTGTACCATCCTCTTCTGTTTTATTTTATTATTGGTTATTGTTGTTACTCTCTTACTGAGCCTAGTTAACAAATTAAACTTTATCACAGGTATATATGTACAGGAAAAAACTTAGTAAATATAGGGTTTGGTATTTTCTGTAGGTTTAGGCGGTCTTGGAACGTATCCTCCGCAGATAAGGGGGACTGCTGTACTTTGTTATTGCAAGAAAACACTTAAAATCTTCCTCTCTCTCCCATTCCTCTTTTTTTCCTCAAGGCCTTGGATGGTATACTGTGAATTCAGCATATGGAGACACCATTGTTATGCCTTGCCGAGTCGATGTACCTCAGAATCTCATGTTTGGCAAATGGAAATATGTAAGTGTGACCTATTTTGGATTTAGGTAACTGCCTCTAGTTTTTGAAATAATTTCTTTTATGAGTGAGTATGAATTTCAAATTAACATAATGGCAGTACTCAACTGTGGAACAAAGGTAGGAAGGTAGAATTCATATGTCGAATATGTCGAAAAAATAATTCCTAAGTCTTACATTACAAATGCTATTTAAAAAAAAAGAAGCCAGTAAACACCTAATTCTTAGATCATATTAGTCTGAAAAATTCAACCTTAAGTGTTAGAGGCAGAGGAAAAGGCAGAGTTCTAGAGCAAAGTGAGTGGAGTATGAGATAAGAGCTTATTGGGAGGTAGCAGCTACATACTCCTGTTCTGCCTGGTGTGGCTGTCACAAAGGCAAGCTACACCAGTAGCCAGAGTACCTGGATATTCATTGGAAATTAAGTCATTGGCATTAGAAGCTCTTTTTTAATATTTAGTCTTAGAACTGTGTTGATGTGGTAGGTTATTTTTTTATTTAACATTGTCAATTGTATCTATTTCTTGCAAATAGCAAAATCATATTTTCTCAAGTATGAAGGTATAGATGGATCTGGAAATGGAGGGTAGATACCCTGATAGGTGGATGTGGATTGGTTAGGTAACATCAACTGATAAAATTTCTCAATTTAATTACCAAAATCAACCAAAGATTTTCCATGCAGCACGGTTTCCCAGTGAGACTCATGGTGGTTTGGAAGCTTAAAGAAGACATGTGTTTCCTTGAATACAATGGCAAATTGTCCCTAGCTCCTTGAAATGTTAAAAGATATTTAAATGGGAAAAGAATTTGATAGTCAAATAATTGTTGAAGTTTCTTTATTTACTACATTTATCAGAGCCTTTCATATATTAAGATGCATTATATATTGTCTGAGTTTAATTCATTTTTTAGGTTTACACAACTTTTCTCTCAAACATCTACAAGAACAAACTTTGAGAAATGTACTTAAGTTTGCACCCAAAGGATGGAATAACACAGTCTTTTAAATATGGGTTTTCAAGTCAGACCAGCATGTTCTACCACATACTCGCCATGGAATAATGATTGATCCCCATTTCCTCATCAATAAAATGAGATAAGAATTACCTTCTTTATAGTATAGTTACATAAAGTAACTCATATCAGAATACTCGCCTAGTGCTCGGCACATAGTAATTGCATGAACAACGTAAGCTATCATGGCCGTGGGGCTGCTAAGCTCGAAGCACACTGCGTGTAAGGAGCATGTGAAAGCGGAGCAAAGAGATGAGGCAACACAGCACTTCTCTTTGCTCTCCTCCTGTTATTCTGCTCATGGTAAACTATTTCTGGTTCCCTATAAAAGTGGAAATATGAAGTTAAGGCCCATGAGGACAAAGTCTATTTGCACCCCTAAAATTCCTATCGTCTGGGAGACTACCACATAATTCACCAGTTGAATCAAGCTGACTGCCAAAATAAATGAAACATAGATGGTGAAAACCTCTGTGATCACAGACATTTCTGATAATAACCCAGGGAATAATGTTTACCTAAACTGAACCGGCACAGTGATAGTAGAAACGAACAGTAATGGCAGTTTTTAAATTGTTAATTAAGCAAAAAGCTTCATCAGTAAACTGATGAGATGCATTTGAAGTACCATGTGCTTCAAAAAACATTATTGCTTTGCAAACATAATATAGAAGCTCTAATTGTATGTAACTTTGAACGACAAATGGCGGTTTTGGA